CCTCTTGTTAATAATTGTTCTTTCTTACTGTCCACATGTCTCTACAACTGTCACTTGTTTCCCCTTCTGAAAAGAATCAACCCTTAATTCAGAGTCTCTCTTCAAAGTCACATACATATTGAGAATACTAAAGTTGTCTGGAGGAATTTGAAATGTAAGTTCAAACTGGTTCTTGCTAACACACATTAAACGGTTTGTTAAGATGGAGTCAAAACCATTCAAACCTATCCTTTAACCCAGGGCTGTCCAACTTGGGGTCCATAGGCTTGTTGTAGCCCACCAGGGGTTAAATTGTAGTCCCAGGACTCCAGTCCAGGCACTACTCCCTCACCAGCTGCAACAGTGGCCAGTCTCTGGGCTCCCCCTCCCTCCTCCAGCTGCTTCATTCTGCATGTGATCAAGGGGGTGGGGTATGTGGCAGTGCAGGGAGCTGAGGATGAGCTGGGACATATGGTACAGTAGGATGAGGAGTTGATTGGTGCATGTTGCAATGGTGGGGTGACCGCACAGGTCTGCCGTGTAGCAGGTGGTGGGGTGTGTGTACATACTGAAGCAGTATGATGGAAGGCAGGGGGCATGGGCATGTGATGCACTGGGGTGGGGCATCCATGGGGCATGCAGTTCATGGGGCATGCAGCTCCCAGCTGTTTGTAAGTTGTACAGCCATTAGGGATACACCGATAGAGATTGTGGGGGCCAAGAGCCAATTTTAAGGAGGTATATCGTCCGATACCGATCACATTTCTGATATAGCTGCATGTAGCTAGTAAATCTGTTGTGGTGGAAGGGGAGGGAGGAAGGGGTGTGGGGAGGGCAGATCAATACCCACTGCGGTGAGGGAGGGGACAGGGGCAGGCGCTGCCCAGCTGGGGCAGGGCAGGGTGCAGGACAGAGCTGCAGCTCATGGGGGCGCTGCTCCTGCCGCTGCTTGCACTCCAGAGGGCACGGGGAGGAAGGATGTGCCCCCAGATCTGCGTGGGGCAGGGCAGGAGGGCTGCAGCTGTAGGCTGAAGCCAGGGCTGCGCCGGGGTCTTCTCGTGGGGGCTGGGCTCAGGGTGGGGGCTAGAGAAGGCTGCAGCCATCCTGAGCTAGAGAAGGCTGCAGCCATCCTGAATTTTGCCATAGCCCTACTCCCAGCACCAACACTGATGCCTGCCCGGCACAGCCCCAACTATTCCCGGCACATGGGCAGAGGCGGGGTGTTGAGCTGGGGCTGCGCCTATGACTGATGGGCATTGTCTTCAGGAGTGGGGCTATGGCGAAATATGGGGTGGCAGCAGCCCCTCCATAGCCCCTGCCCTGAGCCTAGCCCCCCACTGAGAAGAGCCCAGCGCAGCCCCGTCTCCAGCCCACAGCTGCAGCCCGCCCCACCCCGCGCAGATCTGGGGGCCATATGGCCCCCCCCATGCCCTTCCAGGGTGCGCGCAGCATCAGGTGCTGCCCCCCCAATGAGCCGTGTCTCCATCCCGCGCCCTGCCCTGGTGGGGCAGCACCTGCCTCTGCCCGCTCCCTCACCGTGGGGGCACTGACCTGCCCCACCACACCCCTTCCCTTCCTCCTCCCCTTCCATCACAACAGACTTATCAGCTGCACGCAGCTCTCCATGCTGCCAGGCTGTGCTCCTTGCTGCCTGAGTACTGAGCTGCGGCTGTGCACATGTACAAGCATTTATTGGCCACATCGAGTGGATTTCTGATACAGCGAATTTTCTTTATACCGGTACCAATCCGATATCAGACTGATGTATCAATGCATTTCGAACAGCCATACTTCAACCTAAGCTTCCCTTCCCCTAATTCTCCAGTGTAGATGAGGCCCTCTCATGCTGTAGCTTCCCTTTTTCCAAATATCCTTAGCAATTTTTGGTAGTCATTCATATGGAACCTTAACCATAAGTCTTCTTTTTGCTGTGTCTTAGTTTCTCTTCATTCTCTTTGACCTTAGAGCAGGGGCGGGCAATTATTTCGGGTGGAGGGCTGCTTGATGAGTTTTGGCGAGCTGTTGAGGGCCGCATGGGTAGCCCGCCCCTTCAGGGCTGGAGTACTGTGTCCAGTTGAGTACTGTGTCCAGTGAAGTACTACACAGCTGGAGTACTGTGTCCAGTTCTGGGCACCCCACTTCAAGAGGGATGGGGACAACATTGAGAGGGTCCAGAGGAGGGCCACCCGCATGATCTGGGGACAGCAGGGCAGACCCTACAATGAAAGGCTACGGGACCTGAACCTGTTCAGCCTTCACAAGAGAAGGCTGAGGGGGGACCTTGTGACTGTCTATAAACTCACAAGGGGGGACCAGAAGGGTTTGGGGGAGACCTTGTTTCCCTTAGTGCCCCCCAGGATAACAAGGAATAGCGGCCACAAGTTGTTGGAGAGTAGGTTTAGATTAGACATCCATAGGAACTACTTCACAGTCAGGGCGGCTAAGATCTGGAACCAACTTCCAAGGGAAGTGGTGCTGGTTCCTACCCTGGGGGTCTTTAAGAAGCGGCTCAATGCCTACCTGGCTGAGGTCACTTGAGCCCAGTTTTCCTCCTGCCCAGGCAGGGGGTCAGACTTGAAGATCTACAAGGTCCCTTCCGACCCTACTTCTATGATTCTATGAT